TGTGATTGGAAGGACTCGTAAGAAATCGGATTCCTAAAGAATGGAACGTATCTATATCTTATAGGGGGGGGTCGACTGTATTTAATTATTAATAGTAGCAGTAATATTTAATCCGGCAATCGTTTTTAATTTTACCCCCCAGAGGTCCCGTTAAAAAGCGAGCGAGGAAACCGGGAAATTCCTCAAAAAATTTCCCCGAAGAAAAAGGCCAGAGATCAACGCTACATGGGGTCGCTAATTCAAATTTGCCCGGGCTCCAGAAACTATAACGCGTCATTAGATGGAACCATTTTTATTTTATTTTAATTAAGGAAAAGCAAACGACGATTGATTTTGAAATAAATTTTTATTTAATTTTTATTTTTATTTAATAATGTTTTCGCTATGATATGTTTTGTTGGAATGTTCGTTGCTCTTTTCAATATACAGGTCAGGCGCAATAGCCCATTTTACAGATAATTCCCCCCCGAAATAATGATTGAACCTTAATATAATCATCTATATAACATTTGGACTATAGTCGTCAGGGAAGAGCAAAAATAATATTTAATTAAATAGAATTAAATATTTATTTTATTTATTTTCAGACGTCAAAAACCAATAAAGAATTCTAGGTTTGAGTGTAACATAATTCCACGCGAACAACTGATAATGATCACAAGCAGGGGCGGATCTACATAGGGACTAATAGGCCTTAAGCCATGGGTCCCCAACTGTCAAGGGTCCACAAAAATTGAAATCATCATCATAAATTTTTAATACTTTTTCATTAACAATGAGCACTTAGCGATATAAAGTTTGCCACTCAACACCATTTCATAAATAAATATTATTTCAACTTTGATTTTGATGTTATTAAAAATGAATTTTAAACCCCAATTAAAAGTATCTTAATCTAACAAAAAATGGGGCCCCATTGGACTTCAATAAGCCCTAGGTTCCGAAAAACCTAGATCCGCGCGGCCCTGATCACAAGGCTATACGTGAGAGCTGTAACTTGATTTATAATTCAGTAATTACACCGTGGTATTTTGTTAATACTGTTTATGGCATCTTTTTTAATTTTCTCTTCGTTAGTAAATATAGTAGAGCCTCGATTATCCGACTCAATTGGGGACTGGGGTTGGTCGGATAATTGAAAAGTCGGATAACCGAAAAGTATGAAAAAATCCATTATTAGTGTAGTATATTATTATATCTCATGTAATTAGTATATCGCTATTAACCTATTTCGCGTTGAATTTTCATCGATGTTAACCCTAACAAAAATTTTTTTAAATAATAATCGTCGCTATTGTATCGTTAAAAATTAGAAAATTAAGCCTTGTTTAAATACTGGCTCCCTTTCATAGTCGAATGAGTGTTGCCAGCTAAAACACGTAAAAATAATATTAAAGTAGCCAAGACATAGCCAAATATTGTAGCGCCACATCACTAGCGGACATTTGTAATTTGCCGACTAGGACGGTCGGGGGTCGGATAATCGAGGCTCTACTGTATACTTATAGAAACGTTTAATTTATATAAAATTCATGCGCAATTCAGACTGCTTTGGTTTTCTAAGATAGATTCTATAAGTATAGCTTAGAGAATTGATCACTGGATGATTTATCAATCATCATTAACTCTAATTAGTCAAGAATTAACGAAATGCTAAGAACTAACTGGAGGAATTAAGCCAGTTTTTATTTCTCAAATGCTAACATTGATTCGATATTACAGTTAAATATTCGATTTAGTTTATTTGAATATGGCAACGTGACACGTGAGTGATCTGCAGCGGGGATGCCTGCCGAGAAATCTTTTATGGGAAACGTCCCCCTATTTAGATGACACTAATGTGAAGAAAATCCGGAAAACTATGTTGGAGATGCTGGAACCCACAACCAATTACCACTGTTCGGTGGTTTTATCCAATCTGCCCCCGGTGGTACTTATTATAGATGAATTAAGAAAGTACCATTCAGAAATGAAAAAAACTAGTTGTTAGATATGAAAAATTAAATATTTTTATAATTTTCACAGCGTAACACTTTCTAGTCTACAAGCAAGTGCTATGTGCTACCTGTTGCAGTAATATTCCGCCTATACTTTGCCCTATATCACTGTCGTAGTAAATAAGTGAATATGTTTTTACTTGTTTATTAAATTAAATATAATTCATGCGAAATTTGATATACTTTATTTTTATTAAAATTTTTTGCCAATAGATGACGTTACATGTAAAGCCAGTAAATCGAATGCAAACAAATTAATTGATATATAGAAATCCAATTGATATTTTGAAGTGGTCTTACGACATTATCTAAGTTAGAAATATGTTTACGTAAATGCCTAGTATCGTAGTAATTGGTCGAATGGTCTAGGAGTGCAGTATCGTAGTAATTGGTCGAATGGTCTAGGAGTGCATAGCGAACAAACATCCTCATTTATATATTAATATGTACAGTACTTGCAGATGAACACAATGTTACTCGGGCAAAAATTAACAGCAGCAAATATTACGATTGTTAGATTATTTCGTACTCCTAACTCTTCTATTCTATTATATTATATTATAGTATTTGATTTATATTTACAAAGGTTATCTTACAAAAGGGTTTATCACACCAAGTGACTAACAGTTTTTTTAATTCTAATAAGTGCCCTCCAGTAACCGACTGGATAAAACTACCGAACACTGGTAATTAGTCGTGGATTCGGGCATCGCCAACGGGCTGGCCACATGGAATTTTTCGGGTTTTCTTTACGTTAGTCGCCTAAATATGGTCCAGCTTCTCAACAGTCTTCCTGGGATGCATCTCCTCGTCAGATCGCTCGCATTTCATGATGGTTAACCGAGTGGTCGGTTAACCGAGGTGCCGGTTAATCGGGGGTCGGATAATCGAGGCTCTACTGTATATATAAACCAAATAAACCAAACTAATTCTAACGAACGATTATTTATTGTGACATCATCACAATGCTCTCAATTCCTTTAGCCCATGTACAGTACATCATACTTTTCCTGTTAGCAAAAAATTCTTTAATTGTGTACAGAAGAGGAATAAAGAATTTCAAAACATGTTACATTAGTCACTTGGTGTGATAAACCCTTACGTAACATATCCTTTCTTCTTATATAAATAAAATAGTATAATATAACAAACATTAAAACGAAAATCATATAAAGAGTTTGATTATTTTAGCCTACCATCGTCACGTTTATTGCGATACTCGGATGGTACGAAATGGCACAAATTCAATGGTCAAGTATGCACGAATAGAAAATAAATCTTAAATTTTTCAGATATCATAATATTTTCTAATATTAACTCTAAGAAACTGTACCGTTCACAACTAAATACCAAACTGTAATCTGTCAACGAATCAACTTTCGCAAATAAAAAAGACCAAATATTTAAACTTGGCACCCTTAAAACACCTTAAAACATGTTTTGCTGGCCGGCAACCTCGTGTTATGTATTTTTCCTATTCGAATGCCACAATACCGTTTGGTCCGATAGAAAGGAGGAAGTGTTGCGGAAGGAGTCGAAGTTAATTCGACTACTAATTAATACTGATCTATATTAAAATTTGAAATGCGATCCGTATTGGATGGGTTGTGATGGCCCTGCACGTGATCGAAGTTGCCAATCTTAACCTCCGAAAAACTTCAAATGACTTATTTAAATAAAAATTCTTATAAAAATGCAAGAATAATTTGCTTTTATTTGATAATAAAGTGTTTATATTTTTGCAACAGATTGTATAAACCACGTGGGAAGTATTTCTCGTAAATATCGCGTTTTAGAAAAATTATTAGAATAAGTTTGAGATTTTTTTTTTAATTACGACAACGTGACACGTGAGCGATCTGCCGAAGGGATACATCCCGGGAAGATTTTCATGTGAAACTGTTCCCTATTTAGGTGTTACTAACGTGAAGAAAACCCAGAAAACTCCACATGGCCATGTCCGATCCCACGATTAACTAACTACCAGTGTTCGATGGATTTATCCACTCGGCCTGGAGGCACTTATTAAAATTAAGAAAGTACCGTTCAGAAATGTCGTTAGATGTGGAAAATTAAATACTTGTACAGTATAGTTGTCAGTGTAACACTTTCTATCCATAGGCAAGTGCTATGCATTATAAGCATATTTTCATCTATAGTAATTCATATTCATTAATAGTGAGTCTAATTCGCGCTATTTCATTATCGCAGTAATTAAGTGAATATAATATATATTTTTTAAAATGATATCCATTTTAAGTATATTTATTTTATTTTCTTAAAAATTTTGTCAATAGATGGCTCTATGTGTAAATCCAGCAAATGGAACGTAGATAGATATTAATTGATATATAGAAATTCAATGGCTATTTTGGGGTGATATTTACGACATTATATAAGTTAGAAGTATATGAACGTAACTGCCAAATTTCGTAGCAATTGGTCGAACGGCCTAGATGTGCCTAGTTTGAGAAACACTGCATTAGTTACGTTTGCGTTAAAACTAGAATTCTACAAGGCTCACTGACTTATAATGAAAGTTTATTTTTCAGGATTAACTTCATGAAAAGTAGAAGAAATTTTTAAAAACTAAATGAAATATTAAATAATTTAACTACATCAAAATTCAGATTAAATGCTTATAATTTTAAATAAGTAACTATAAATTTACTTAACTATAAATTTGTTATTAAAATTTACAAATATATATGGTTTTATATAACTAATTGTTTTATTTTAAAATTTAAACTGAAATTATATAAAAATAAGATATGTGACCGATTCTGTATAAAGACTTTTCTTTTTGTAAATAAAATGTTTTATTGAGCACAGATGCAAAGCTCAATAGAGCGCAGGCAAAAAGTATCAGCGTATACTTTCACGATTTTATAGTTAAATTATAAGTTCTAATTTAGAATTATAATGATACTATTAATCAAGATAAATTAGGTATATAGTATATTTTTTCATTCCTAATTTCGAGCATAATTTTTTTTCTTATAGGAACATAAAGATCAATGGCCAAGATGGGCAGATGATGAATATCTGGATGGCTATGCAGAATATCCTCCTTTACCAAAGTTTATTTCGAAGAAATTTATTCATTTATTATGTAGTAAGTTTAGTTCACTATACTTATAATAATAAAATAAATTTTCGACAAAAGTACTGTATTTATTATAAACAAAAATCTAGTTTAAAAGATTTTAATAATAAAAATTAATATAATTAATAAATTAATATAATAACTGGTTAATGACTAACTTTACAACAGTAATAAAGCATGTTCTCATGAACACTGGTTATTTATAATCTCTGCTAGGACTTTCTAAATTACAGTTTATATGGGGATAAAAACAATTAGTTATTCGTTTTAGAATTGTAATTAAAATGTTTGGTTTTAACTATTAATGAATAGCAGTTCTTTGATTACGCAAATTTTAAAATATAATTTTCACTCAAAAACTAAGAGGTTAAAGTAAATTTTTCTAATTGATAAGCGTTTAGAATCGTAACTAACTAAATATTAAAAATTAACCCATAGATTATTGGCTTGAAATAATTGGATAGGTTTCATGTAAACTATTAAAAATACTTTTATTTCAATTATTTTCAAAATATGATTACTTCATTTGATTTCGAGTAGCCTATATAATTGTTACTGTAAAATTGTTTTCTCAGATAATTGTTTTATTTATTTATTTATTATTCTTTCGGTCTAAGCAGTTTCCTACTTTATTTATCAGAATTTATGAGTTCAAACAAGTATGCAGGCAAATTGCATGGCCTCTGCTTTTAAATATCACAAAGCATCAATTTGCTTGGTAATAAAGAGTAATTTCTAGGCCTTATAGCGATTGAAAAAGAATGACATGCACTCTAGTGTCATTTTATAAAATTACTAATTGTAGTTTTTAAAAATTTTTTTATTTCTCTTTCTATATTTTTTTTCCGCAATTCATTTGCCAGTGTGTCAACATTATGCAAAAGCAAACTATTTTTACTTTGAGATTCCTGCTTAAAATTAAAAATTTCCTCCAGTTTAGTTTCAATCTGTCAACTTTTCATCGCTTTCGTTATGTAAATTAACACGCCAATCGATTCTAGCAGATACCTCGCTTAAAGCATTAAGGACCAAACCGTTCGTCTAAATATGAAAATATTGAATATTTCGTTAGAAATCGACTTACTTGATTCAGATTTAGCAGGAAAAAAATCGTCCAATTTCGCAATTTTCAACGTAGGCTCACAAGGAGAACGACGTCTCTTGCTCTTAACATTAGAAAACTGAACCGGTGAATCAGAAGGAGTACGGGATAAAGGACCGGGATTTTCCTCTATTTCACTGAGAATCAACAGAAATATCGATACAACCACAAAAAAGCAATATTTTCCATGATTTCCAAGAAGAACTTTCAAAAAAGTCACTAACAAACTTCACTAACACGCTCAGTGACTATAGCCCCTCCCCCAAAAGCATTTAAATATAAATTACTTACTCTTAAGCATATTTTCATCTATAGTAATTCATATTCATTAAATATAAATTCATATAAAATCTTAATATTGAATAATAATAATAATAATAACGTTCCATTTATAAACTTATAGAAACATTTTAAAACTTTTACTAATTTTATTTTCTTCAAAATTTTATATACAGTATTTATTCCAAAATAAAATCATTAAAAAGATTATTATACTGTTAACTCAGGTAAGATATACATACCAGCAATACTGGACGGAAAACCCCTTACCAAAGAAAAACCATTTCCAGTTATAGTATTTTCTCATGGATTATACGCTTGCAGAACCACATATTCAGCTATTCATGTCGAATTAGCTTCTCAAGGTTACATTGTAGCATCCGTAGAGCATAGGTAAGTTAAATAAGTCTAGTACTACAGTCTGTTCTTAATTTTTAAATGCCTTAATAATTAAGAAAATCTTTTATTTAAAGGGATCAGTCGGCTTGTTATTCCTTCTACATGAAAAAATCAAGAATGTCAAAATACGGTCCATACCCTGGATCAGATATTTCAGAAGTGGACGAAGAAGTTTTAGACACTGAAATTGAATGTGAAGATTCAGAAAAATATCAAAATGCGCCGATCGAAAAAAGGAGACATGGAAGTGAAATGACTTCAAAACAACATGTTTTATTTCATAGTGTAAGAAAACCTATATCAAGAAGACACGCTGATCTACGTAATAAACAGGTATAAAAAATGTTTTCAATAAATTTTGCACTAATTTTCACTAAATTTATATTATTATACTATCAATACTTACCGGACCGGCAATATAAACGGATCAGTGTACTGTACTGTATACATAACCGGCAATCTTGGAACAGAAAGAGGTTCAGATTTATGGATTTTCTGGTTTCTTGAACATAGGCTAAATATATAATTAAAATGTAAAATAAACAATGGAAAGTAAAGAACGAAACTGTGTAAATACACCTTATGCTAGCAGTCACACTGGAAATGGCGTCATGCGGCGCAAACGCCTCGGAAGTGGCCACGGTGTGAAATACAGCTATATAATAATAACCCACCAAATTTAAAACTAGCCGGTTTCAAAAATAGATATTTTTCTGGTAATTTTGGATTTCTGGAACTGGATATTTGATACAAAACTGTATTATAATAAATAATTTGTAATTAAATACCGGAAATACTCGGGTTATCGTACGAAATGCTACACAGTTTGTGTTTTACAATGCTACACACTTAATACAGTTCATTTTTTTTAAGTTTAATTAAATGTATGAGGGAATTTCTCAGGATTTCGAATTATATGATATAGAATGGTTCTCTTTTAATAATAGTAGTCTCCGAGTTACGTTTCAAGTCGAACAACAGAAAAAAAACAATGATAATAGTAATAAAGGATACAATTTCCAAGAAGGAGTATAAATCTATATACTACCGCATATATCCTACAATATACCGCAGCGAAATTCGATCAGTTTTTATGACGTATGAATGGGGTTATCGACGACATTTTCCTGGTCCTAGTTTTCATTTTGTCACACTTTTCAATTAGCTTAAAAAGTACGATACAGCTTTGATGTTTTCATTTTACTAATTTATAAAATAATGAAAATCACATTAATAATGGCGTTTGTTTAATTGAAATGAAAAACAAAACCATACCGGTAACGTAACTTTTTATCTGACAAGAGTGAAAAAAAGTAGAAACTATGCAAGAATGTCCTCGATAACCCCATTCATGTGATATACAAACTGATCAAATTCCACTGAGACATATTGTGACTTGTGTATAGCGTGAATAAAGACAGTCTCTTCCACCAAAAGATCGACAGTTGAAGTACAACTGTCGATCTTTTGGTGGAAGAGACTGTCTGATCTTTCTCTGGGAAGATGTACGATCTTCTCTGCGGGAAAAGGCGAGAAAGAGATCTTCCTCGTCTTTCTCATTCGAAAAGATTTATATAGGATTTCGACAAAATTTCGACATTCGGATTGGTTCTAATCTCTCTTCCGTCATTCGATTGACTCTTGTTGCTAGGGATCGAATTCCGGTTAAAAAATGGGTGATCACCTCTTCCACCCCGATACCAAGCCCAACATCCCCTGAAATGTTTAATTGCCACTTCCCAAGTGATAGCCCAGTAATTGGGAAAATGTGTTTTCTTTTCTGTTTCCAAGAGGATGCAGCTGTAGCCAAAAGGTTCCAACTTTACCCTCTCTTCACTTCGAATGCAATAAATTCTGAAACATTATTTTCTTTGTTTTCTTTGCGCAAGTCGGGCGGGAGGTCGGGAACCTTTTATTTGCTTTTTCCAATTGCACAGTTAGTTCGACCGAGAAAGTATTTTAGCTTGTCTCGTTTCTGATTTCATGTGACAAACGAGTTTTACATCAATTCAAATTCGCTTTCTTCCGAGAACTTCATAAGGAAGATATAACAAACAAGTTTTATCACCGACAATTAATTCTATCCCTTTCTACGATTTTAAGTGAGGGATGTGGACCTCACACTTTATAGAATTCAAATGTTTAGCAGTTTACGGTTTGTTAATCATAAGCCCATTACTTATAAACCTATTTTGTATTTTTAAAAAGTTTTCTTGTAAAACCTTATTTTTATATAATTAAAATACGATTTTAATTTCTAGTTAATATTAAGTTTACGCGAACTACGTTATTCCAATCTGTACTTTTATGTTGTTTTTCTACCTTTTAATGCATACAGAATGTTTACAGTTGAGGTACTGTGCGTATATTAAACTTAATTTGATGTGTATCACAGTAAATACATTGTAACGTTATTATGCATGTTATTTAGATGTGTCAACGAGCTGAAGAATGCATAAGAGCATTAGATGTACTTGAAGACATAAACAATGGAATTACAGTAAAAAATGTTCTACAATCAAAATGCTCTTTAGAAAATTTTCATGGTTTGTTAGATATGTCTAAAGTTTGTATGGCTGGACATTCTTTTGGAGGCGCAACTACACTAAAAGTTTTATCCATGGAAAAACGATTTAGGTAAATTTAATTAATTTTAATTTTAAAGTTTTATACTAGCTACTCTAATATAGCATTAACATGATCTCTAATAAACAGTGTTTCATAATATAAATATTATTATTATATAAACCTAATTATGAATTATATATAATATGAAAACTATACACAGTAGAAACTCGATTATAGCAAACAGTTTAAAAATTAGAACGTATAGCATTTACATACCACATACAGAGACTAAATTTTCTGCGTAACTAGAAATCTTTCTGTCATCTATCATTATAACTCTACGAAACTAGGTCATATTATATTATTAACAAGAAATTATTTATTGTGACATTGTCACAATGCCGGGCTGAAAATGTTTAATCATCTTTTAATTAAAAAAAATCGCGTATACAGTTAATCGGGATCTCCAGCTCGTAAGCTTTCCATATCCGGTTGAATTTTATTGGTGTCTTGCCCCTGTACATCATACTCCTCCTGATAACAATCGAGTCATGCCGGTCTTCTAAGTAACTCCATTCTCGAGGAAATTTGTGAATTACAATCATGTGACTTTCGGTCTGGACCAGAAGTCACATGATTTTATTTCACGTGACAATTTTAGTTGGGCCTCCGGCCCGTTAGCATTCCATATCTGGTTTTGATTTTCATATATCTAACTCTGTTCACGAAATTAACGAAGAACATACAGGAAAACGGATAACAGTGGGAATGTTAGGACTGCAATTTGAAAATTGCAGCCCAATAAAGTTACATTTCCATATAAAAATTCGATTTATTTATATATATATGCCCCACATTACTGAACTTTATCGATACATCACGATTTTCTTTAATAACAATAAGAAAATCGATGAAAAATCGATTAATTGAAATTGATTTTAGAGTACTAATTTCAAAAATTACGTTTTTTTGATAGTAATAACGATTGTCGACGATCTTCTATAGGTCCACTATTGAGCTATTTCGTCATTATTGATTGTACTGCTATTTTCAAATTGCAAACCTATACATTCCCACTGTCGTCCAGCTGTTTGTCCGTCCTCGTTAATCTCGAGAACGGAGTTAGATACCTGAAAATCGAAGCCAGACATGGAAAGCTTAGAGACCGGAGGCCAGATTAAACATATATGAACTTCCGGGTCCAAAAATAAAGTTACGTGATTTCAATTCAAATTTTTTCGAGAACAGAGTTCGCTAGATGACCGGCATGACTCGATTGTTATTGGGAGAAGTATGATGTACAGGGGTGAGATATCGGTAAAATCGAGACTAAGTACAGCCAGAGATCTCGATTAACTAAACACTAACTTCCGTTCTTGACCGAAAGTCATGTGATTGTTTTAAATTTCAGCCTAGTATTGTGACAATGTCAAAATAAATAATTACTCGTTTAGGTGTTTTTCGTTTTAAATTCATAGTTTCTTTAGTGCAGTACGTTGTACAGTACATTCCAAGGAAAGATTAGTGTTTACTTTTAATAAATTAAACAATTTTTTCATTATTCCTAATCATTGATATGTACAAAATATCTATACCTTAAACTTTTTTACTAATATATTAGAATTAAAATTAATATTTTTTATTTTATTTAAGGTGTTTATCTTTTATTCTTTCCCTACAGTGTGTGATCGGTTATCCGAAAGTGTCCCGTCCCGATTATTTTGGATAATTGACAGTCTACTGATTAAATTTTAATTCAATTGAGTCCGCTTAAGAGAGCATCCTGGGGATCGCTGCATCATGCTTTTTTATCCGAATTAACCAAATCATTCGTTTTCAAATTGCAGACCTATAAATTCCTACTGGTGTCCGTCTGTCATTCCTTTCTTGTTCTCGACAACGGAGTTAGATAGATTAAAGTCGAAACTAGACTAGATATGGAAAGTTTAGGAGCAGGAGGCCCCGATTAACTATATGCGAACTTCTGGACTGGGCCAAGAGCCACTTTATTTCAATTCAAAATTTTCTTCAGAATGGAATTAGGTAAATGACGGACATGACTATTGTTATCAGGAAAAGTATGATGTACAGAAGAATACTACGATGTATCTAAAATCGACAGTATATATTCTAAATTAGATAACTTAAAAATATGTTTAAAAATTGCAGCCCGACATTATTATTATATCACAATAATTTTTTAGATTTTTAATGGTATTCTGTTTTTTTTTTCTATTTTTTCACATCTTAGCAGCACTGCATATACATGGAAACGTTATCACGTAATTTTACTGTACTTAAATCAATTTAGTTTCTATTCTTATATCATAAATTTTATTGTTCTATCTAATAATCAGTAAATACTGTTACTATACTTATCAGTTACATTATTATCATTTCTTCCCAGAAATATAGTAGTAGGACGTATAATATAAAAACAAATAAGTACAGTACCTCCTTAAAGTCGTGCGACCCGAAATACGCTCTCTGATTACTTCTTGCTTTGTTCGTTCGATATAAAGACTCAGTACAATACATGTATTCTGCGCTGTTTATTCACATATATTTTATGATAACTTTTAAATATATAATTGTTTTTCATATATATCTGTCCAATGAAACCGATCTGTTCTTTACAATTCTGTAAGAAATCTGTTGATTGTCAAGTGCCACATGTCACGAACTCGTTTAGCAAATAGTCTCGCTGAACGAATTGGCACCATATGATATTCTCAAAACGTTCATGTTGTTAATCTTAAAACTCGAGACTAGGCACTCTGGATGGTAAGATTAAAGATCCTTATAAATCCTCCTTAGAATAATGCGGACTGCTGCTCTAAAAATGTCATCGACACGTCGTTTATTTAAATGGTAGACCAACTGTTACAGGAGTATCGGGAATGTAAAACAGAGGAGAAAATCGGGAACATGAGAGACTGCTGCTCTCTTAAGCGAACTTCTTCCTTATCCGGTATTCTATTAAGTGGACTCGACTGTAATATTATCAAAATATACGTTATTAAAACTATACATATCAATTAACTATAGAGAATATTAATTAATGCTTTATTTATAGGACTGGAATTACACTTGATGCCTGGACGGTACCGTTAATAAAGGAAACTGAACTTGCTTCTTTGATCACTCAACCTATTCTATTTATTAACAGCAGCTATTTTTATACTAGAAGAACTTTGGAAGAACTTCATCAATTCGATTCAAATGAAACCGAACGGATATTTGCTACATTGAAGTAAGATAATCGATGTCGATCATATAGACCTATACGTATATTTATAGTTAGTTTTAGAATCATGTTAAATTTAAATTATATATATTATATTATATACTTCTTATTTAGCTGTCAAAATTATGTTACTATATTGCATTGTTCTCAGGGATTATAATAACGAAGTTTTATTAATATCGATATTTTGGTAAAGAAAGATATTCTGATCGTAATACATGGCGAGGATCTTAAGACGTAAAAAATACACTGAAGGGTGTACTCGATTGTAATATGTATGTGGTCAATCTTTAACACGTTGCAAGCAGAGAATATCCTCATTTTCAAAAGAAAAATAATCGGTTATTCGATTTTAAAAGTACTTGTATTTTTTTGCTTCATTTACTTCTGATTCTGGTCTTCTTTTACGCAAGTTAACGTTGTGCACTTTCTGTAAATAAGTAGGTATATCGCTAGTCGATCCTACTGCAGTTTTAATTATTTTGGTATAGAAGCTTCCTTTTCCTTTAGGAAAAACTGCCAAACAGAATTGGATGAATTATAGCTTTGATTTTCTTCAAATTTCATTTCTTTTACTATCGTAAATACATGTATCGTACTTATATTTTATGCTGTATATTTTACACATTCGTTTGCTTGTTCGATAATAAAAATTAAACTTTGCATATCACCGTAAGAAACGCAATCTACAAATTTTATAGATTGCTTTTCTCACCGTTTCTCGCGGATTTGTAATAATTAAATTAAATTAAGTAATACAGTAATTAAAGTAAATCGGTTTTTTAAGTCACAGTAAGAAAATTCTGAATCACAATAAATATTTCCACTTTACTTATTCTTTCTACTATCGTGTGTATAAATGTGCGTATTAGTATAAACAATAATTCTTTTTCAAATTCACTATTTATAATTTTATTATATAGGAAAACCATTCACAATAACCAATGTGATTTGCCTTTTGTGATTCCTCGACTGTTCTTATTGCTCAGCGGAGAAATTTTACGAGGAAACTCATTCACTCATTTGAAATTAATAAATAGATTAATCATGACATTTCTTTCAAAACATTTAGGTAAGCAAATTTTAACTAATAAAGTAATTATATTTTAATATTATAATGTTTCAGAAATTCATTAATATAAAATTGCTGACCTATAAATTCCCACTTCTGTCCATCTTTCGTTAATCACAAAGTGGTAGATAGATGAAAATCGAGACCAAACATGGAAAGTCTAGAGGCCTGAGGACTCGACTATACACTAACTTCCAGTGAGAACTGGAAGTCATGTGCTTACAATGCAAAAGTTTTACCCTACTACGCAGAGCAATAAATGTGGTATAGAATTAATCCTTACAATAATTTAAATTAAAATATAATAAAAATTAGGGCCTGGCATTGCCCCGGATTTCACAATAAGTAAATTCGATTTTTTAATGATTCTCTGAGGTATGAATAAATTTCAAAAATCATATAAATTAATAGAAAATAATCTTGTTTGTTTATTGCATGTAATCGTCTGTTATTTAAAAAATTCTTAAAATGTATTAATCCACACACTTTGTTTAACAAAGTAAACAGAACAGTAAACAAAATTGCGACAAACAGGATAAAACAAAAATTAATTTTGTTTCATTCTATTTTTCGCAATTTATTCCACTCGAATATATTTACAATAAACATAAAAGAGATATAAAAAAACTGGCAAAGTTTAAATAACAAATGCATATAAATATTGAAAGCGATCATGTAATCACGTTTGCTGTAAAATCGTTTCTTGCATTGATAATACCAAATGTAGGCCTATTGTACTGTATATTATCACCTTTTAGGCAAGTTTAGTTTGATGACGACTCTAGATTCGATTTATTTGCACCAAGAAACATACAATAATTACATATTCGCTTTCAATATTTTTATGGAGATTGGATTGGGTTGGTGGTATAAGGCAGTGAGTTTCAAACATAGGGTGGCAATCCCGAGTAGAATCGCCAATCTTTTTTATGGGATCGCCTAAATTATAAATCCTTTTCTAACCATTGTCCCTCTGCTAAGGATATTTTAAAAACTTTGAAAAAGAATTCAAACTTAATACATACAAGAAATTTTATTTCAGATGAATATTAATACAGTAATATATTAATAGTTTTATTGCTCTATAACTTCACTAACAGTTTTCTTGCTCGTGGAAAGCCATCTGTATATAATTAAACCAAATGATTTAAATAAATTGTTTTATTATTTTTCTTTTGTAAATTCTTTCATTAACAGAATACAGTTTTCTCTCCAAAGCAAAAGATGTTTGTCTGGTAAGAATATAAGCTAAAGATATAAGTTACACACATTAAAATAATAATTATTAATAAAAGTTAATATTTTAAAATCAAATTTAATTTATTCAATATCTTTAACAAGTAATCTGTTTATGATTTTTTTCAGATTTGAATTTCAACGCTAGTTTTAATGATTACATTAAAAGTAAATCCTCTCATATTAAAGAAAATGTTGTTTTCTAATCAATGCACAAAATCCTGAAAGTTCAAATCGGATGCAGTTGCATGCAAATATTAACTAGTTTTCAGAAGGCTGGACAGAAAAGCCAAAGAGTAAACAATCGAAGAACAAAGCGAAGGTTATAACCCCATATTAAATAGAAGGAGAAGCATATTTCGTCACTTTAACTTCTGTGTCGATCGACTAATTTTATCTCTGTAATATACAGAATCGCATTTTGGCCGATCGGAAGTTTGATATTGGCATACTTTACCGAGCGGCCATTTTGTTATATCGTTTTTGTTTCATTTAAGCTAAGACCATCGATAATTTGTATGACTAAAATACTGTTTCTTTTATACAAAGAATCGAAGACTATTATGAAATGAAGCGTCGAATGTCAAAAATCGGCCGTCGAAAAACGAATATTAGACTAACCCTCTTTCATTGGTAACTTCATTGTTCTTTCTGTTCTAACTTTCGTTAAGAATTCGTAATTTATTAATTTTGAAATTATGATTAGTGTATTTTTGTTTAAGTATGGTGATTCTGTAAATTATATTTTAAATCTTTGTATTCTATATTCCTTGTGAAATACTGGCTTGAACTTAAAAGAATTAAACTTAATCTACAATGAATTTGGAGTTTACAGAGCTTATATGTTAATGATAATTTACAGCAGTGGCGTGCCGTCATTGGAAGCGGTGGAAGCGCCGCTTTCCTTGTATTTTCTAAAAAATAAATACATATTGTGCGATTATTTTCATATTTTAACGTATTTTGGATTAATTAAAATTAATATTTTATTATAACCGCATTATGTATCTTATTACAAATTTTTATACTACATGTGAGAAAAACGATAAGATTGCTATTGTGTATTCGAATATAAATTCGTATATGCATATTCCTTACGGAAGCTCTATATTGTCGAATATGGGACAGCTTCCAGAGCGAAAATATTTGAACGGTGTAAAGTAGCCAGATTATAGGCATTCGCTCATGCGCTTTACAGAGCAACAACCTCAGGCGGTTTAGCTGGTGTACAGTGGCTAGAAAATATAGTGTCGAAATCGAGCTTATTTTCTGTCCCTATATTGGAGGTTGCCGCAAGAGGCGCTGCTGTCAATCGTTGTGCTACACTGGCTGTATCATCCTATGTTTATATTGGTTTTAAGTGGGATTTTTAAGCATAGTAAATGTGCTGTAGCCAAGTAAAAGAATTTAGATCGATAATAAATCATATCACTAGCAATCAATTATTATATAGTATTACTTTATTAACATTTATGAAGGAATTCATTTTATTAAAGCTAATTAAGATTCTTATTAAATCAAATAGCCTACACTGTATTGTCTATTTTTACATTACAGCTGTTGAGTGCTGTACAAACAAGTATTATTTAGAGTACAAGAGTAATCTACTCTTGTTATTACCTTATTAACAACAAGGTTTATTCATATTTACTAAAAAAATACAGAATTTATCATATTTTTAATAATAAAATGTAAGTTTTATATGGCTTTGTGAACCTCTTCCACTGTGAGGGCCTAAAATAGAATTTATTAAGCAAATGCCATCAGTTACATAATACTGTATACTGTTCACAGTATTATGTGACATAGTATAAAGCAATATTAAAATTACAATTAAATTCTACACAGTATATAAAATATAAAGGCAGAATGTTACTTTATTGTCCCAATATAAAATTACAAAATTAAGTATGTACAAATAAACGATTATTAGTCTACTGCCAAGTACCCATGCATATACACTTTATATTTGAAAAATCTCTCTTAAAAAATTACAGATTAATATGCATGTAGATTTCTCACCCTTTTCGACAAAAATAAAAGAATTAAAAATTACAGTAGAGTAATATCTATAAATTAGAAATACACAAGTCAGTAAAGTTTCTGTTCAGCCATTTCCTAAGGATTTATTCACTTTACAAGCACAAATTTAATCGCTTTCGATGTTCTTGTAAGAAAGGATATCACGTAGCCAAAGCGAAAGTAGCACTACGATTGACATCAGCGCCACCTTGTCTGTGACGTCACTAACCTCGATGTATGAACCGAACGGTTATAATAGAGGAATATAAGCGCTTTCGACACTATATTTTCTAGCCACTGTAGCTGGTGGAAGCTACACACCAAAACATAATTCTATCCAGGACCAGTTCTGGGCTGTTAGCCGCCTGCCTGCTAAATATTCGGCCACCCTCGCCCCATTATGTGAATCGCAAGTAGATTTATCACTTAACCCAACCGATAGGAGTTTACTGGTACGTTTTTATGATAGTTCTGTATAGTTGACAGGAGTTTTAAAAAAATCCATTACAATATTTGATATATTTATTCTGCTCTCCCATCTTGTGTTACATACAGATTTCTATGTTAAACTAGTGATACAGTATTACGATTTACAGTAGTATGTCCCATCTATAAGGAGATGCAGAAAAAAACGTGTACAATTCTTGTACAATGTTAAAAAATTAACTGTTACTTTGGCAGCATCATTTACAACTAAATTTAATGAATGAGATGCACAAGGTACAAAAAAAAGCTCTAGAATTTATATTCCTTAAATTTAAGATTTATATATCTGTTGTCATAAAAATTTGTCTTGCCACTTCTTTCCCAACTCTACAAATATTCAAGTTCAAAGTAACCAGTTTCGACTTATTTCTACTTAAGAAGTAGTTAAATAATTAAGAGATTATGGAATTACGGACATAAATAAAACTCTGCTGAAAGAGCCGGATTTTACTTAAAAGCTTAACTGAACCCCTAGCCGAGTACAATGGGGACTGATTTCTTCGTAATATTAGATGTAATAAAGACAGAAATTTTTCCAGTTCGACGAGAGTGATCGAAAAGTTGTAAATTTTGGAAATTTTCGTGGACACCACCTGGTCGTAAAACGAATTAGTTAGAAAACAAATAACGGACAATCTATTAACATTAGTAAATAATATAAAATAAATATTGAAAATTATAAAAGATAGTTACGGCTAATAGATATATCTAAATTAATAGATGTTATGTTTTTTATCAAAGCAAGAATTGGCATTTAAAAGGCATAGGGAATCTATTGAACCTAATAATAGAGGTAATTATATTGAACTTGTTTATTTATTAAGTGCGTTAGATAATCTATTAATTAAAAATACATTTAGAGAAGTCTACGGTTTTTACTAGCTTATCGAACAAAGGAATACGAATGGACCCTAGAGGGCCTAGACCATCACTGACTTGCAATTAACTGATTGCCCCTGGAAATCGGCTTCTTACAAAAACACAGCTTCCCTATCATCAAATGTCACGGCATGCCACTGATTTACAGGTATACATCCAGATTTTATATTTTAAAATCTGGATGTAGCTGGCCCAAATTAGTCCAGATTTTCGACGCTTCACTGTATTTTACAATTAATTTTCACTTTTTCTTGAATAATATGTATAATTCAATATATTTTAAATACGTTTATAGTAGATTTTCTTTTTTTAACATTTTGAATAGTTTCATTTCGGAATGATGTATAAAATATTGTATATGTATCATTTTACAATGTACTTACAAAGAGAATTCATTTTTAAATTAATATAAAAGCTAATGAATAATATTTAACCTATGTACTGTTAAATAAACTTTTCATGTATATAATAAATAGTTTTGAAATATATGCTTTTTATATGGTTTTCTATTAGTTAATAGCGACAAGAATTGTCCAAAACAGTGTTTCTGAACCATCTGTCCGCAAAAAAAAAAAAAAAAAAAAAAAATTGTCCATAGTAGCGCTGGCGCATTTGATTACGGGTGACATTGAAATAGTAATATAGTTACCGTACGTACTTTGTTGCGTACAGTAACTCTCTATAAGCATATTGACCTATATAAGTGTATAATTCATAGTGGAATGTAATTACTATTCCACGTAAAATTATCCATAGTTTTACCGATCCGCGATCAGATAAAGTTTGAGAAATACAATTTTATATTTTTGTTAATCACTTCGCACTCCGACCTCGGTATTCCAGGAATTAAACGTTATTTGTGTATCATATGAAGCTATGCAATATATAAATACAGTAGACCCCCTATAATACGGTAGAGGGAATTAATACGGTATCGTTATAATACGGTAGATCGTAAAACACGGAATTTATATGAAACGGAAGGTTTCATATAAATTCCGTGTTTTACGGTCACTTAAATACATGAGCCAATCACAGCCCGACACGTGTGCAGTTTACGGACTACGGCTGTTTGAAAGGTTTTCTTCCATAAAATTTATCGATTCTAGACTAATTTGACTCAACATTTCCAAAACACATAATTTTGTGGGAATAATCCGTATAAACTATGCTATAAACAAAAAATTGTAGGATTACTTACCGAGTGTGCACCATTCGACGACGCCATTGCTTAAGCTTGTTTTCGTTGTGAAGCAGCGCATCGAATGGCGGGCGCATATTTCCTGATAAGTTATTTTTCTGTGAAAAATTTACTGAACTTTGGAGACATCATTAATATAAATATAATTTTTATGGCCGTTAAATAATAAATGGTTTTTAGTAGGTCCGCTGCTCGTTAAACTCAACGGTTTGTGCAATATCCGCTATTGGTCTAGATTCGACCAATCCTGTCGCGACACGAGTCGGCGATTATACGACCCTCTTTTAGCATGTTTATACGAATACGATCGCAATTTCTTCGCCGTATTATATGAACTCGTTTTATAGGGAGGTTACTGTATTTTGGGTTATCCAGATCTAGTGAAACTATTATCTTTGCAGCCTGAGTCACAAAAATTCAATGTCTCAGCTTTATTTTCTGATGTCAGTGCATTGAGATTTTGTTTATATTATGGACTTCAGAATTTTATGAACAATGTAACTGAAGCAAATTTTAAAATTTTATCAATTCTGGGTATGAAAATTCTCACGTAATCTTAAAATACTTAAGAAAAAATAAAAAAGATTCTTTAATATATTCATATTTTTAAATATATCTTTAAAAAAATACAAATTACTGTTTAAAAATATACATTTTATTACTGCTATGAAATATAAACTTATATACACTATCACATAAATATTGTATCTCAAAATTATAAATACAATTTTATGAGTATTTACACCGAGTAATTATTGATAGTATGTAATTCATAAAAAAAACAATTTATACCGTACATTATTTTTAACAAATGTCAGAAAGGAATTCTACATATATATAGAATTTTTTAAAATTTAATCACCTCTCATATTGGTATTTCTTATTAGGTTGTTCACTACCTTCCAATTTTCTTTTCTTGTTTGCATGTTTTTCCAATAGTTGTTTAACTTGGGGAATTAAAAATTTTTCTTCTGAAGGTGGATTTATTTCTACCAAATAAAAAGCTATATATTCTGGTTTTAAACAATTTACTCCAGAAGATACTAGTGATTCTAAATCAACTTTGTTTAACTCTTCTTTAGATACCTCAATAAATGCATGTGTGACATTATTCATATCTTCCTCTGGTTTAATGATCTCAGCTCCACCACTTTCTAATATTCTTTTGTAAGTTGAAGATTTTTGTTTATCAGCAATAATTAAAACTTTCCACTCTCTGAAAGCACCATACCTGTCAAGTTTATTTTGTTTACTTATTTTAATTCTCCAACGACGAGGACACATTGCCACTTTATTGTATTTTTCTTGAAGAGCATATTCAAAAGTCTGAGTTGTAGTGCCACCCCATTCATATATTTCTTCATCAACAAAACAACCAGCCTGTGCACAAGACTCTACATATGATTTATGGAGTACCCATAATCCTGATGCAACACTGGCTAAAAATTTCTCATTCTTCAAAGGCTGACCAAGAATTAAATGTGTTGTTGTATTATCAAAAGTTCTAGTATCTAAAACAATGCCTCCAATATTTCTTAGGATTTCAGAATAATGTGCTTTTTCATTTTCTGTAAAACCAGAAAACATGAATCTTTTGTTTTGGATAATCTGTTCATCAGGATTATGCTGTAAATTATTAATACTGTTGTCATCACTGGGATTTTTCATATGAACTGTGCGCGCAAATGTTTCATTTTCATCTGAATTTTTTGTTTCATTTCCAACATTAATACTAGGAGGACTAAATGATTCGGTACCAAGATTGGCTTGATTAATATGATCTGCTAATTTTTCTCTTTCACTTCTGCCAGTAGGATCATCCCATGTAATTGGTACACTTTGGGTAAAAGCTTCTAATGGTAGCACTTCATTTTTGTTCTCCCAAATATTTTTATTAATTTTATTTATTCTTTCTTTCTCAGAAACATGGACTTGTTTTTTTAAATTATGATTGTATACATTAAAATTTATCTGCTTAGAATTTGGACTTGGAGAAGAGTGAATATTTTCTGTTTTACGTTTACTAGCATTTAACAATTCTTCAAGTTCTCTACTTATGTCTTTCTCATTTTCTTGTTCAGGAGTGAAATTATTTAATGCTTTTGATTCTCCATCGACAACATCTTTTTTTATATCTAACTCAACTTGATTTGGATTATTAGGATATGATAGTCTTTTTGAAGTTTTTTCATCTTGACAATTTAATTTTTTTACAGAAATCTGCCCCAAAAGTGAAAGTCTTGGATTATAAGTTGGTGAAAATTGACTCTCATCAACTAGTGCATGAGCATCGCGACATGCATATATCCATTCAATTGAGACAATTTTTTTACCTTGTTCTTGAGCAGTCTTAAAATCACGAGCTGAACTAGATTTCCCCTGATAAACAAAATGAGTGCAATCAGAACTATAACTCCATCTAAAATTACCACCTAGAGAATGAACTATCTTATTTAATTCTCCTTGTTTATTACTAAGTTTTTTTGAAACACACAAAACTACACCTTTTAAAGGTTTATTATTATTTTTATCTTGTTCACAATCACTTCCTGTTTTATCCAGATCTTCAACCCCAATGGTTCTCAAAGCTGCAGATATCTTTTCTGCAAAAAGATCCTGAATAGGCAAACTTTTCTTTCTGTCTTTACTATCACTATTAATAGGGCTGTTTAACATTGATAAAACTGAGTTTACTTCATAATCAGGATGGTAAACTTCATTTGAATCAAGAAATTTTGAAGATGTGGATGATTCATTTGTAATATTTAATGACTTTATTATATTATTTTTTTGAATTGGTTCTTCAAGCTTTTTATCTTGGACAGGATTAGATATGATATCATTATCTTGTTCAATCACAGATATATCATCTTTTGAATCTATTTCTTTTTGATTTGCATCAATAAGTGTATTAACTAATTGGTTATTTTCTAAAATACTTCTTGTGACAGTAATGGATGTTTTGTCATATTTTGATACTGACTCTTGCAGATCAAGCAAGTAATCAACTTCATTTACTCTCTTACCCATTTTAATACATTCAAATAACCATTCTTTTGTAACTGCTGGAATATTCCACTTTTTAGATGCTTCATATTTACTACCTTCTGAGACAGCAACAATCAAATGTGTATTTGGTAACAATCCATGTTTTTTGTTTGCTTTCCGAACAAAACATTCTTGAGTACATGACCCCATGTTTTCAGCTAATTCCATTAAACCATCACGTTCAGCTCCAGTATACTGACTAAATGATATTACACAACCTTTCAGAATTTCAGAATTAATGTTTAATGGTTTACATAAGGGATGGAAATCAAACTGAAGTAATTTTTCTTTTTCAATACACATTTGAATCCAGTAATTAGTTACTATATTTACTGCACTAAAATTAACTGATGTTCCGATTAGTGGAACAATATGTAAATCTGCTTTTGAATTTACTTTTGCAATTTTTCCTCCAGCAGATTGAAACATCTCAGAAAGTAACATAGAATCTTTTGGTTGAAACCCAGAAATATGAGCAGTAAACTCAGAAAAAAATTGCATTTCTGATTTATTTCTGTTTTCGCTTTTTAATTTATCAGATTTTATAGTTTTATCATCATCACTTGGTAAATACTGATTAATTATGTCAGAAAAACTATTATCAATGTTTGTAGAAATGTTTCTACAATTATTTGGCTGTTGAGTTTCATTATGATGTGATGCTAAATGTTCTACACTTTCTATTTTTGAAGATATTTGTGGACTTAAAGTAATATTTTTAATGTATCTATAAGGTTCTTCATCAAGTAATGTATGTTCTTTATAACAATTAACAAGCCACAAATAGGATACAACATGGCATTTCATTCCTTTTTCCTCAATGAATCTTAAAATATTATCATCTTTTTCTCCTAAAACAGAATGAGTAACACTTTCATTTAGTTTATTAAATCTCATTCCTCCTCCCGCATTAATGATTTTATATAATTTTTCTAATCGTAATCCACTAAATCCACTGACATAAATTCTACAACCATCAAGAAATTGTCCAACTTTTAAAATATCATTAAATTCGTCTAATATATTAAAAGAATTATTTGCTGGAGCAATAGTCACAGAATTAATATTTGTAGTCTCTTCCAGGCGACTTTCAAGGCAGGAAATAGTGTTATCATATATTGTACTACAGTTTATATTTTTCATTTTTTCTATTAAATTTCCTTTTTCAGGTGTAGAAGTATAAATATTTTGAACTGAACCATCATCTAACTGATACAGTTTTTCATCTTTACAAAAACCAGCATTTAAACTATCATATAACCAATTCAATTTTACACATTTAATTTTCCAAGCTTTAGCAAATTTATACTTTTCACCCTTTGGTTCCATTAGGATTAAATGTGTTACTTCTTTTGCTCTCATTGCTCCTGAATATTTACCACCATTCTTTTCAATACATTGCTGTATATTTTTTCTTTCTTCATTTGTCAACTGTGACACAGTAACACTAAGACCGTAAAATGGAGGACACAAATATTTCTTGTAAATTTCATTAGTTGCATGAATTTGCTGATATTGACCATTATCCCAACAATCATGTATCCAGTCAATCTTCATTATTGGTAATCCAAAACTGACAGCAACATTATATTTAGTAGAACTAACACTCCCTGGAATGAATAAAATTTTAATATATTAATCTATTCTAATTCCAAATATTTTAACTAGAATATAAATATTTTAAGCAGAAAATTATGTTAAGAAATCTTCTAATTACTTGGCTTTGCATCATTAGCGATCAAAATATAAACACAAAGCTAAGTTTTTGCAAAGTTGCTAGATCAGGAATTATTATTCTAATTTCAATTTTATAATAAAGTTAAAGTGAATTAACAATAAATTAAATAAATAAAAATTAACAATAAAAATAAAAATAATTCCACACAATGATTGCAATACTGCTTCAATATAACTTTTGATACCTTTGAACATGTGTGACTATCTGGATGTGTCTGTGAATCTTTCTTAATAAAAATACTATAATTGGGCAGCAGTTTGAAAAAATTGTATACCTATAAATTCCCACTGTTGTCTGTCCATCTGTCTTTCCTTAATCTCGAGAATGGAGTTAGATAGATGAAAAATGAAACCAGATATGGAAATCTAGGAGCAGGAACTCCCAATTAACTATCTACAAACTAATGATGCAAGTGGAAGTCACATTATTTCAATTCAAAAATTTTCCCTGAAAAGTGTTAGACAGATTCAAATGTTCAAAAATATTGAACAATATTGTATCGAAATATCTATTGAGTGAAATGGATTTAAAAAGGCAGTGTTGGATCATTTGCCTAAACATTACACAAAATGGAATAAAATTCCATGCATGAGTACAGGCATGTGCCACAGGTCCTATGATAACTAAATATTATAATGCTGGTTTGTAAAAGGCCTGCAAAGCTGCTGACAGAGAAAGTTCCTCCCTGTAATTAATACACATGCTTAAAACAGGTTCTTGTTCCTTTCCCATTCATCTGTTTAGTATCATGAACAATGATTCAATCTATGATCTGACTCATCTGTCACAACAAGAAGGTGAACACAGAAGCTATTACAGTAGAGTGTTGTTTATCCGAAAGCTGATCAATCGAAACGTCAGTTAACCAAAAGCGTTCCAGTCAGACTGTGTCGTGCTGAATCAAACATTTTTGATACTAGATTAACTTCTACAGTATAATTTTTTTGTTTTTATATTTTTCAATATATTTATTTTGTTTGTACAAAATAAAGAAATAATTTTTAATGATACAATAGCCACAATTATTATTATAAAAATTTTTGTTAGGCTTAACATCGACGAAAATTCAATGCGAAGCGACACGCAACGGAGAAAAATTTCAACATGGAATAGGTTAATGTATTTTTTTGTGCATAATCGGTTATCTGAAAAATAAGTTATCTGAACAACCCCAGTCCCCAATTGATTCGGATAAACACCGCTCTACTGTACAGTACATGTGCTTTCAGTATGCATTTGGTACAAGTATACGTGCTGACCATTTTCAGAAGTCACAAATGTCTTTCTGCAGCTACATCTCTGGCTCCTTTTTATAGATGTCAATCTTCTGAATGAGTGACATTTTTCTGTCATTGGCTTTTTCCAATGCAAATAGCAACAAATCAAGTGTCACTTTGTCTGAGAGTCTATTTGCAAATCATGTCATTTTGTACATTAAATTCATAATGACGACAATTTTGGTCTTTCTCTGAAGGTCACTCATTATTTTCCATCTTTATTCTGTTTGTTATTTTAACCATGACAGATGTCATCATCAGGTCCTCAAAATTGGGAAAAATTTTCCTAACCTTGATTATATAAACCTTTCAACCTTTGACAAAGTCATCAGTGTTTCTTTCACAACTATGTTATTTTTCTGTAAATTTTTTTTTCACAACAGTTTTGGTTTTGAAAAATGCATTGCTGTTAATGAACATTCATTTTTTTTCTTTTATGGTAATCACTCCTCCATAGAGGGATTACCATTCATAATTTGTAAATATACCAATCAGTGTAAGTAGTGGCAAGCGTTTGTGATCTTGCCCTCAGGACGATGATGCTTCACCTACTTTTGCATTTCAAAGAAGTGTGACTGCAATTCGTCTACACCTATTTGACATAAGTAAAACCTAGGGGTATTTGCCTACTGGTCTCAGACTCCTACGAGCATAATTGTATGAGGTTTGCATTGGCATTACCTATTGTTAAGTCTGTACTGTTTCTGACATTTGCTGACTTGCTGACTCCTGCACAAGTTCTTCTGCTTGATATGGGGGATGGAGGTTAATATTTCATCTCAGGAGTCTAAATTTCCTAACCATGGCTGTTCTGAAGTATGTGGTATGATCCAAAAGTTCGGGGACTGCAGTAATCTATGACAACAAAAGCATGTATTTGAAGTTACAGAGTATGAAATGACTACCAAACCACCCCTCCGTGTTCAGGTTGGTTTTGCCCATGTCATGTGATTAAACTGCGAGCACTGCTGTTTTCTTCCAGAGATAGTTACCTTTGTTCTGCGACATAATAAAAATGGAGTTTCAAGAACAGCGCTGCAACATTAAATTTTGTGAGCGTTTAGATAAAACACCTACAGAGACTTTAAAATTGCTAAGGTGTACAGTGATTCTACCACAGCAAAATCGAAGGTATACAAATGGCATCAGCATTTTAAAGAGGACCGAGAATCTATCGCAGACGATGAACACACTGGCCAACCTTCGACTTCATGGAATGAGGAAAATGTTGAGTTGGTCTGTCAATGTGTTCGCAAAGATCGTTGCCAAACCCTTGAAAAATCGCTGTGGCTATTCACTTATCAAAGACTAGTTGCCAGCATATTTTAACGGAAAATCTTAACATGCACCAAGTGTCTCAGCACATTGTCCCTCGGCTTTTGACTTCTGAACAAAAGGAAGAATGAACGAGAATATTGGGTGATTTAATTGACAAAGCCGATAAGGATCCAGCTTTTTTGAACCACATCATAACAAGTGATGAAATGTGGTGTTATTTATTTGATATTCAATCAAAACACACTTCTTTAACTTGGAAATCATCCTCCTCACCATAATCAAAGAAATTCCAGCAAGATCAGAGCAAAGGGAAAGTCATGATGGAGGTATTTTTTAATTCCCAAGGAATTGTTCATTCAGAATTTATTCCCGAAGGCAGAACAGTAAACAAGGAGCATTATCTAGACATTTTACATCGTTTGAGGGAATTCATTCGTCGTAAACGGCTGCAGATCTGGCGAAGTGGAGACTGGTACCTTCTGCATGACAACACACCTGCACATTGGTCCCAAATGATCACACAGTTTCTCACCAAAACTCAAATTAATGTGCTTCCACACCAGACTAGCTCCATATGATTTCTATTTGTTTCCATCAATGAAAAAGCATTTGCAGAGACACCATTTTGTGTCATCAGATGAGGTGAGAGCAGCATCACAGGAGGCCTTACAGGAGGTTTCAAAAAATGGCTTCCAGAAGTTATATTGATATGAGCGCTGGCAAAAGTGTATCTATCATCACCCAAAGTGATTACTTTGAAGGTGGTTGTGCATCGACAATATAAACTTTTTAAGGTAAGGAATTTTATGCTAAGTCCCCGAACTTTTGGATCGTACTATGTAGAAGGTTGCTCACATGTTCCTCTCTTCAGTCTCCGCATTTACTGAAGTAGGAACAGTAAACTCCACTTGTGCCAATGATGGTTTTAGTCGATTTACACGTACAGTACATGCATCATCTTTTTCCCTGTGTATGGGGTCTGTTCAAAAAATAACCAAACTTTTTGAATTGGGCGGAAATGGAATGTCCTAGCATCGTGTTGTTGGCAACACTATGTTTGTGATAACCTACTAAGCTGCTTTTTTCAGACTGTTGATATCTCGTTTCATTCAAAAAACAATAACACGGAACAATAACAATAACAATTCATAGTGATTTATGCAATGTGCAATTCATGGGAGCAACAATACAACATAAAGTTTTGCATAAAACTAGGGAAAACTTTTAGAGAAACATTTCAACTTTTGAATCAAGCTTACAGAGGCAATGCTCTAGGTTGTACAGTGTTACGAATGGTTTACCCAATTCAAAAGTGGTTGTCAATTAGTTGAAGATGTCCCTCAACCAGGAAGGCCTTTCAACCTCAACTGATGACACTTATGTTCAGAAAATCAAGGATCTGGTGCCTGTAAATCGTCATCTGACTGACAGAGAGAGAACTTGCAGAAGAGGTTGGGATCTCAATAGGGTTGTGCCATGACATTTTAATAGAAAAATTGAACATGCATTGAGTTTCAGCAAAATTTGTTCCTTGTTTGATAAACTAACTGCAAAAGGAAAATCAAGAGGGCATTTGCCTGGAACTCCTTCAACAAGTCAATGATGATGAAACATTCATGCAAAGGATCATAATGAGTGGTAAGAGTTGGGTTAAGGGCTAAGATATTGAGACAAAAGTTCAATCATCACAATGGATTGACAAGGGTGATCCCTTGCCAACCCACTGTGATGATTGAACACATGATGCCAACACTGTGATGATTGAACACATGTGATGCCAACACCCGAAAAAAGCACAACAATCTCGATCCAATGTCACAGTGATAATCACTGTTCTTTTCGATTTCAATGGAATTGTGCAGTTTGAATTTTTGCCTCAAGGTCAAATAGTCAGCCATCAGTACTATGCAGGTGTTTTGAAACAGTTGCGTGAAAAAATTTGCAAAAAAGACCAGAATTGTGGGGAGATAATTTATGGTTCCTTCACTATGACAATGCATTCAGCCTTGTCAATTCACTAGTTTTGAGACAATAATCAAATGACAGTCCTCCCCAGCCTCCCTACTCACCAAACCTGGCTCCCTATAATTTTTTCTCGTTTCCAAAATTAAAATCAGTGCTGAAAGAATGCCATTTTGACAGCTGATGACATTAAAACAAATTTTCCACAAGCATTAAAGGACATTCTGAAAGAAGTTTACCAGGACTGCTTTGCAAAGTGGCAACATCACTGGGATAAGTATGTGAATAAGGGAGGGGATACTTTGAACGAGACAAGGACTAATAACCTGTAACTTGAAGAATAAAAATTAAAAAA